ACGACCAAGTCCGTCGATGCGTGCTGCACAGGCAACTGACATGTTGAAGCCGCGGCCGTGTAAAATGCTTGACCAAACGCTAGAGCAGGAAGTGACAGTCTTATTGCCCAAGAGAGCGTGGCAAGTTTCAGCACCAACTGCCACGACTTCTGCGCCATGCGCTGGAACGACAAACGATTGCACTTTCTGGGGCTCTATAGGAGCAGAAGTTGATGTCTGAGTGTGCGTGTGTGGGGGGGGGAGGGGGCACACTGGCAGAGCGCGTATGAGATGCTCGAAGGGATGAAGGCCTTTGACATTGGAAACTGCCATGTCACTAAATCCTAACCTGCGTCGGAACTAAGCATAGTGTTCTTGAGTGTAACAGCGTGATCCTAGACCCTAAATCCTAAACCCTAACTCCATCATGGTAGATAAACCCTAAACCGTAAACCTTGCAATGCGCCGACCTAGTACCATGGAACCTCGCGTGGCATGTCCGAGTTGTGAGAGCGTAAACCCTGCAATGCGGGCTCATCCTTGTTACGTAGGAGGGAAAAACCCTAAACCCCTAAACCCCTCTGTGGAGCCTCGCCTGCCTGATGCGAGTGTGAGAGTCGAAACCCCAAACCCCAGACCCTAAACCTTATAACCGCCCTAAGTGGGAAACGAGAGCTCTTCTTGTTGGGCCACGAGCTGGGCAAAACTCCCAGAATCCAGGGGCCTCGGTATTCCGTTTAGGGGTTTAGGGTTTGGGTTTCCGCATTGTTTCGGGTTGACTGGGTTGTTCTATACATTTGTGTTTTGGTTGAACCTCCAAAGTTTAGCATAAAAGTTTCGATCCCCATATAGCAAGGCTCAATAGTGGATGTGTCGTCGGGACACTGGCCCTCCGGCTGGCAGCGGGGCGTGAAATGGTCCGGCCAGGATTACACCGGCTTGGACATCACTCCGAAGATGATCGAAGATAACAGAGCCTTTTTCAAGGAGTCGGCATCTCTTTGACAACAAAAGGGCAGTAACGCTAAAGTACCGAAGCCGATATCCCTTGTTAGCGTTACCGTAGCATTCAAAATGTTGCGATTGGGGTCTCTTGTTGTGCTCTGAAGTTTGCCAGGGCCTTCACGAATTGACCAGTAAATCGCAGGCGTGGGCGATGTTGTTGTCTGCACTACGGAACTGTTCAGTTTTTTCCCAAGCCTGGTCGTGGATCGACACGAGGACCCTAAACCCTGTAAGCCCTATGAAACCGACCTACCCTAAGCCCCTAAGCGGTCCTTTGTGAGAGTACCAAAATAGGATTCCAAATATATACCACAAAAAGGATCTACTTAGGGGCCTATGGGTAGAGGACAAAGACCCCCAGCAGTACGGACTGCGGTCTGTGGCTTTCGAAGTCGGAGACATGCTGAAAGAGCTGCCAAAGGCCGACCTCCTCATCACGAAGGCAGGGGCCCTAACGATCGGTCCTGTCCCAGGAGGTGTCACTTATAGTAAGAACCCCCAATCAGGGCTCCAGTTACCTAAATAAAGTAGTAACCATATATTTATTACCACAGTAATCCATTATATATTTGGGTAGCCGGAGCGCCATAGGCTACATTTGTTACGCAAGATCGCCGAAGTGATGCTAGCATGTCTCCCGACACTGGCAACCTCGGATTCCCCCGAAATTCCGATAAGATACAGTGGAATACTAAACCCTTAGCCTTACTTTAGCCCTAAGTGCAACAGTACGCATAGCCCACTACGGCACTGTATCAGCAACCGCTGCTTCTAGGGACAACCTGCAGGACCACCCTGAAGCCCAACCCCAAAAGAATCGCAAAACCGTCAAACCCCAAACCCTTTCTTGTGAACCAAAGCAACCTATTGTAGGGGTTGGCAGTAGCCATGTGAGGCCAAGAACTAAAAGACGAATTCATTCCCCGGACACGAAACCAGAAGGCTTAATCCCAAAGGCCCTAAACCCTAAACTAAGCCCTATGTAAACCTTTACTCCTAAACTCTTCGAGGACATAGTTGTCTGTCTCTTACAGGACACGATCATCCACATTCCTAACTGGGCCATCCTAAAGTTCTTGGAGACCAACGTCAACGCTTGCCCCCCGTGGTACAAGGAAGTCTTGTTCATCCATGATCGCCTCTTGCCTTCGTGGGGTTTAGGGGTTTTGCGTGTAATATAGGGGCGTTACCAAGTAGATTAGGGTTTGGGGGAAAATTAAAACCATAGCTATAATGAGGAACCACCGACAACCCTATTCGAATGATTGAGGCCCCTACATTAGGGTTCAGGGGCTCCGCAGTTCTTGGGTTTAGGGTTTTAGTGGGTTTCTGGCTTAAACGCGGTTTGTTTAGCGGGTTCGGGATCCAGATCTTCATGGGATGCTGGGGGCTTTAGTGGATTTTGCGACGTTCTGATTTCTAGGGCCTCTAGGGCCTACCTGGACCCCAGAAGTATGTAGACTAATGGTTTTTTATGGGTTTTGGGCCATTATTTTACCTACTTTTGGGGGTTTAGGTAGGGGGCCTGAGGGCTTTTGTGGGGCCGACCAGATCCCTCCACACGAATCCGCGCTGCAAGCCTCAGATGCTCAGCAACCCTGAATTCCTCAACCTTTCATGCCCCAAAGCCTGCACAGCCCTACGCCCTTCGCCTTGAGCCCTGCACCGCTAACTCCTAATCCCTTCAAACAGGAACCACTGTGGAGCCTATGGGTACAGCTCAGTGAGAATTCGTCTGACAGGTCCTCCGTATTGGAAATTCCGCTGGGGAGCAGTGCCGCTTGTGCGCCACATCGTCAGGAGAGGGCCTTGCAGATTTTCGCGTGAGGGATAAGAGTTAAGAGTTGCGGTTTTTTTTGGAGTAGTGGTTTTAGGATTTGAGTTGGTTGAGGGTTGGGCGGTTTAAAGGCCTGCGGCTTCAGATCTTGTTAGCCGGCAGTTTTCTAACCTCTCCTAACTCTGCATTCCAAACCCCCAGGGCTCCAAGTATACAAATAGTACCTACTTTGGGGTCTAAAGTCTGTGAATAGTACCTACTTTGGGCTATTTGGAGCCCTAGGGAACCAATGAGCCCGATGCCCTGCGCCAGGAACTGGGACTGCCCAGGGTTCTCAGATTTCCACGAGATCGACCTGAGGGTGGCGCCGTACCACCTCGATGTGCCTTCACCGATTTTCAGTTTAGGGTTTAGGGTTTAGGGTATGCTTTGAGGGACTCAAAGAGCAGACCCTAACAGGTGCAACTGTACAACGTTTTCACTCCGACTACGGCTGAGACCTCGCCTGCTCCCAAGCCCTGAAAAAGGGACCCCGGATTCTTCTGAAGCTCGAGTGTGTCTCTTCGAAGTTCTCCCTTTCCAGCTGTTAGGACTATGGCTTGGAGGTGTTTGAATGAGGGCTGCCTGGATGGTGCGGACAGTCAGCTTCAGGGTTTTGTAGGCTTCCAAAACCCGCTAAACCCTATTAACCTCAAAAGGGTCGGTTGCCTTGATGATACCCGACGTTTCAGGGCTCTGCTTGTGTTTATGTTTCTAAGTTGGCTGCAGATGTTGGGTGCTATAGGGTTTAGGGTTTAGGGGCTCAGGGTGTAGAGTTGAGAGCAGACCCCCTTCAACTTATAACGGTACCTTGTATATTATAAGGATGTTTTATTCTTTGCTTCTGGGTTAAAGTGGATACCGACTCGATCCAGACAGTGGTAATCGGCGAAAGGGGCAGGGGTGTAGGGTTGAGGGTTTAGAACGACCCTCCGGATCGGGAAGATGAGTCAGTGCAGAAGTTCAGACAATTGGTTGTAGTACGCCTTTCCTGTGCCAATAGGATATAACAGAATGTGAATAGCACTTCCCTCAATGCCGACCTATTAAAATCTATGATGCTTCTTCGTTTCAGAGATGGTAGGGGTCGGAAGAATTCGTACGACCATCCCCTAGCTGTTCTTAGTATTGAAATCATATAGTTTTAGATACCAGACCTTGAATCCTTTGCTCAGGTAGTCAATCTGTTCGAGTTCAACTCATCCACGCGTGCGGATCGGGTCATGGATAACCCAAAAGTGGTTCAGTACCTGAAGACTAGCTGTCCGGGCTCATGAGAAGCTCGTAGCCCAAAGCGCTCAAAAGCCTTGGGAGCTTTGTCGGAATTTTGCTACTCCAAAAGAGGACGCTGGTGCAAACGATTGCCTTGATGTCTGCCGGTGCCCAGTTGCGTGGGAATGACGGAGGGAAACATCGGTACTCCTAATCCCTAAACGCGAAACCCTAAACCCCTAAACCCGGTGTCGGGCAGCCAGTTCCAAGCCCAGGGTCAGGAGCTATGTCATCGGGGTTTGAATCTGAGATTTGTGAGTTTCGAAGGCTTTGGGGTGTTTGGTGGGCATCAAGCCGCTCCGATACGCCTTGGGGGTAGCAGAGGCTCCCTACACACGCTGAAACGGGTGGTAAGCCAAGGGCCAAGAAGTCATAAACCCCAAGTAGGTTTCAGTGGCCAGATCTTTCCTTGATAAAACTGGCCGCGGCTCTTCACTCGGATATAGCATGTGTCCTGGATATCGGTGTGTAGCGTTGGGTTTAACCCTAAACAGAGAACCCCAAAACCTTAAATGCCCATCCTACCTACCCAAACGTTGACCCCTAAACCCTGAATAATTCTATAGGTTCCTGAGTATTAGCCTTTTGCCCTTTTATTTTGGGGGTCTCCTTATTCATTACTAAACCCGAATATTTGAGAAAAAAACAGAGGTACCCTTATTATTTAGGGGTCACTCAGGAACCTAAGACCTAAACCACCCTTTTGGATCTCTTTGGGCACATGCTCGCCTTTCCAGGACCAGCTGCACAGTTTCCGTACAGAGGCTGGGCTTTGCAAGTCGCTCTTCTCGCGCTTGTATATGGGTACCCATAGGCCCCTAAGTAGTTCCTTTTTGGTGGTTTATATGTAAAATCCTACAAGGTAATCCCAAAAAGGAACTACTTAGGGGCCTATGGGTGCTTCTTGTTTAGGGTTTATAGGGTTTAGGGGCCTCCAGGGCTTAGGTTTGGGGCTTGAAGTGAGGGTCCCGGTTTTAGGTCCCCAGGATGGCACAGCTATAAAAGAACCCGAAAAGGGACACTACTGTTGATGATATAAATCCTGCATTACCATAAGGGCCTAAACTATGGGAATTATGGTATGTTCCTTATTATGGGTAATGCAGGACTTATATCATCAACCGTGGTTCAAGCAACTACCTATTTCCTGAGCAGCTCCGCTGCCCAGATGTGTGGCAGGTGATTGTCCCTTTATGGTACAGCTACGCATTGAGTAATCCATGTTGTCGATCACTGGGCTTATTTAGGACGGCCGGGTTATTACAGGGAGATTCGGCCCAGAGTGTAAGGCACGGCACCAGCCGCTGACATTCTGAGGATGTATGCTAAACCCTAAACCCTAAAACCCTAAACCCTAAACCCTGAACCCCAAACCCTAAACTTCTAAGCCCTGAAAGCAAAGTACACGGAAGGCTTGGTCTCCCCCAAGTCTCTAGAGGAGTGAAGCGAGGCCTTGTGCCCCTGACCCTCAATCCCTTCATTAACAAGCCTACCTTTGGGCGGTTCCTTCTTCTGAGTTCTAAATCCTAACTCCTGAAAAAACGGGCCCCTGAAGCCTAAACCCCTAACCCCTAAACCCAACCTCTAAAGCCCTATGTCAACCCTTTGCAGCCCGGAAGGAGGCGAAATGCCTTTGCTGCAGTCTCGGTCATGACGATGACCAGGCATGACTATGGGTTTAGGGCTTAGGGGGTCTATAGTGTCTACAAATCTGTGCGATTTGGGGCTACAGGTGGCCTTCCGGGTTCTCGATGTGGTTTTTAGGGCTTGGGGTTTCCGGGTTTAGTTTAAGGTTTCCGAGGCCTTAGGCTAACGGCAGGCTGTGACAGAGAGCCAGAGTGAAAGAACTAGAGATGGAAGAAAGAGAGACTCTAAACCCTTGACCCTAAACCCTAAACAGGGAGAGAGAGAGAGAGAGAGAGAGCGACAAAAAAGAGCGAGAAACAGACGCAGAGGGCTTCAAAGCACCACGCTGTGGAATAACGTGTTTCCTTGCCTGCGAACTCTCCCCGGCAAAAAGCGGCACCGAAACTGTGCAGGGAAAGGCCTGTTCCCAGTTTAGGGTCTAGGGTACTCGAAATGTTCATCAAGTCCCAGACGCTGCGAGGCCCGGCTATGTGACCGCAGAGTTGTGCTGGACTGCACTGCTCTTTTCCAGGGATCGGGAGAAGGTGTTGAAGCTGACCTCTATGTAGTTCTCTTTCTTTGTTAACAAACCTTCCAGGAAAGGAAGTCTACTGGGAGCCCTGGCGTCAACCCGAAAACTCCAAGCCATCGACCTTAAAGCCCTGTCCTGGAGGCCCCCAACGCCCCGACCTTAAAACCCTAGAGGCCTCTAGCCTGAATCCTTAGACCCCCCAAAAAAATCTAATTCCCGAAAACCTTGAAGCCCCGACATCCAAAAGTCCTCAAACTCCAAGCTAGACATCCTTTAGGGTTTAGGGTTTAGGGGTTTAGGGTTTACGGTTTAGGGGGTATTTTCACTGTTACCCCCTGAAACTCGAAAAATCTTGCACTCCTCAAGCCCTAAATCCTACAAAACTACATAGGCAGTTCTCTAAATTAGGGTCCCTTTTTAGGTCCCCAATACAGTACGCCCTAAACCCTAAACCCTCTTTTGTTCACAAGGGACTCGACTGCTGCCCGTACTGCCTAGCTCGACGCACGACACAGTACTCATGACTAGCCCTACAACCCTAAAGCTCTAACCCCTAACCCGGAAGCCTTAAACCCTAAAGTCCTAAACCTTAAACCCCTCGAAACCCCTAAACCTTAAACCCTAAAACAATTGCCCCTAAACCCCCCTAAAGCCTAAACCCTAAACCCCTAAACCCCTAAACCCCTAAACCCTAAACAGGACTGCATCCGCACCTGGTTCGGATCCGTGGCTTCGTTTGAGGCAACTGCTTCTTGCCACCGGTTTCTCCCAACTTTTTTTAGGGTTTAGGGGTTTTAGGGTTTAGGGTTTAGGGTTTTCTCCCAACTTTGCAACTGACTTGGGACACCTTTAAACTCTTTGGGATAATATTGCCCTTTTATACAACTGAAAGTGTAGACTCTTTTGGGCCTGTGAACTCAGCAACTAAGCTAATTGACCGGCGAGTCGCTGTTTTAGGGTTTAGGGTTTTTCAGACTCTGAAAAGGGGCTTCGTTTTTGAGTTTAGGGTGTCAGACTATGTTTTGGGATTTAGGATTCTCACGCCCGGAATAGGGCTTCGCTTTGGGGCTCGGGGTGTGCTCAGACTCTCAAAAAGAATTTGGCTTTGGGAATTAAGGGGTGTCAGACTGTCAGACTCTGAGTTTGAAAATTCTGGACTCACTTGACTTCCCAACAGTCTTTCTGATTACGTTGGGCTCTCCAAGCGGGGTCCTAGCGCGAAAATCCCGGGATTGGTGCGGCCTAGCCGACAAAGCAGCCAATGATAGAATCCCGAGCGAATTCCCAGGTCCCTGGTCAGGTTCCTTCCGGAATCCTACAATACCCATAGGCTCCACAGTAGTTCCTTTTTGTGGCTCATATTTAAGATCCTGTAATCCCAGAAGGGAACTATTATGGAGCCTATGGGTAGCAATACCTTTGATGGCTTCTCCTGGACTCGAATTTTGTCATGAAGCTTGCAGGCTTGCAGATTCCAGAATTTTCCCGTAGCCCATATATGCATATATACATCTCTCTCTCTCTCTCTCTCTATATATATATATATATCCGACTATGCTGGTATCTCGGCTACTGGGGAGCGCCTGTGAAACCCAAGGTTCAGAGCATCGTTTTTGCCGCACTGTCCCGGCGACTTGGAGCGCTCCCATTTACGTGCCTTTGACTAGAGCTATATTTCAGCTGGGGGGCCTTTAGAGCATCAAGAACGAATTCTGGTTTCTGTTCGTGCCATTGCAATAATGATGATGATGATGGTCAGCATGATGATGACGGTGAAGATGAGGATGATGCTGATGCTGATGCCGATGCCGATGCTGATGATGATGACGATGATTCTAATGCCCCCTCCTGCTGCCGCTGAACCTGCGGATGCAGCTAATGATGCGATGAGTTCGACGATCATAGCCCGCGTTTGTCCCACCAATCTCAATCTATCCTTCAAAGTCTGCCACATTCGGCCCGAAGTTTACGTACCGCGATACCCTGCAATTTCCGGTCTGGGGCCAGAAGCACACCTACAGACGTTACAGACCACACTCAACAAGTACCCTCAAATAAAGGTACATGGTCCCAAATTAAGGGCATTTAGGGTCTAAGAGAGGGTAGATGGAGGGTCTAGGAATGCTAGCCATGAAGAGCATCCTCCGTCTCAAGGTACAGGTGGCTGATTCTGGCTGCGGCGCCGATTGTATGGGGCCTCTCAGTGGAGTAAGGTCCGGCTTTTGCTAAAGTGCTCCGCAATCGAAGCGCAAGCCGGTAAGTCTAAGCGAAAAAGCCGATCCACAAAGGTTTAAGGCTTCTATAAAGAAATGTGTAGTCGCGGGTGGTCCAGTTACCATAAATAGTAGATTACGGAACCATATATTATATACCCCCGCAGCCCAGTATTCAGGTAACCGAAACCTAGGGTTATCCAGCAAAGCCGTCTCTTTAGGGCTTTGGGCTTCGCTATAGGGTTGAGGCTTGGTTTATAGAAGGTGTAATTATAGGGTTTGGGTGCGCAGTTTTGGCGGGTTCGGGCCGGGTTTCGAGCGAGTTTTTTGTTTTGCTCTGCCCTGCCCTACCCTGCCCCCTGCCCTGCCCCTGCCCTTTTCCCTGCCCTTTCTCTCTGCTCTTAAAGCCCTGCCCTGCCTTGTCATACTCTGCTAACAAGCCCGGTTTCACTAGACACCTTCTATTTGATCATTTGCTTGAGGGTTTTAGGTTTTAGGGTGTTCGTATTTTCGGATAGTTTGTTATGCCTCTACACTAAAACTCTCAAACCCTACCCGCTCTAGGGCTCCTTGTCAGGATTCCTTTTCCATGTCC